GAGGAGCCGTACACGTGGAAGACGAAGACGTCAACTTGGAAAGACGAGGACGTTCCAGATGTTTTGGTGATGAGGTCCGGTGTGGACGAGCTGTGAACAACAACACTGATCTTTCCAGAGCAGATTTTTACGTCATGTCCCGCCTCCACCTGCTCTACAGGCTCCACGAGTCGGACATCGTTGCCTCATTAAGTATTCACAAATATACGTATATGCAAATGAGCCCCATCTCTATCTCCGCCCCCATCAGCTGCTCGTCGTCAGCGTTGCCAGAAGGGAAATGTCCCGCGAACCCTGCGACCTTAAGATGAAGACGAACGGCAAAGACCTTAAAAAACGTACAATCAGCTCTGAACAGCAGCTTCTGCTTGTCAGTTGTTACGTTCGTAACCTACAAGCTGCATCTCTACTGACGCCACTTTGACGATGAAAGTTGAAATCGGATCTTTGTTGGAATGTAAATGTTGGACGGACGCGTCAGGATGTTGTTAAATCACACAACACGTCCACTTTGGTGTCTTTGCTCTGGTGAACCAGTCGACTTACCTGATCCACCATCACTGCGCGCCCGGTGATGGAGGTGTGGGAGGTCGTCCATCTTGTCAGCAGATCAGTCGTCACGGCGACTCGTCCGTCCGGACGCAGGAAGTGAGAGTTTCAGTTGAACATCAAGCGAAGCCGTCAGCGCGTCGCTGTGGAGACAGATTTCAGTCGTTTAAATGATCCGAGACGAGAAGCGTCAAATGGAGCATGAAGCCACTTAGTTACTGGTGTCCAGACCTGAACTGTGGTTTTAAGAAGCTGTTCGGTGAACTTTTACAGATTCTGAGGCTGAACATTTGTCAAACTAAAGAAACTGGGAGAAGTCTCTGATTTCTTTATATCAGAGTCATTTACAGAATCCGCTGATTAAGTCTTTGGAAATCAAACAAGGACACAATGACGCTAATTAACTAATTTCTATCCAGCGAATCAAATCAACTCCAGAGAGAAAACTAACCGACCCAACAACAGCCAAATGGTTTCCCTCATTACAAACATGTGCAGTGTAAAAAAAAATGTTACGGCACATTTTCAAGGTTTCCTGACCGGAGAGAAGATTCTGGAAGAAAACACAAAACAACTTACTTACTTAATATCTTCAGACAGAACGAGGAAGTTCAAAGATGGCTGCCAGCAAGCAAAGTGACTCATCAGGAGGAGGAGGAGCTGAAGTTTGTTCAAACTCTCCGACATCGAGCTAAACTTTGCCCCCGACAGGTGTTAAAGAGAGTGAAACTCCACAGAACCTTCAGGAAACCATCTGAGGCCTGTGGCCATTTTGTTTGTTGGGAAAGAATTCTGCTCGTTGGTTAGTCTGGTGCCATGTGGCCGAAGGGGGGAAGTGAATAAATGGCCACCGAGGCCCGATTGACAGCTGGGTCAGCCAATGAGAGACAGTCTGACGTCACACGATGCCTTCAAATGTTCTCACAGAGAAAACTCAACTCAAACACAACGAGATGTTTCCTGTTCGACCCAAAGTGTCTGTCACATCCAGGAAGTGGCTGACGACACGTTTATAGAAGTTTAACTTCAATTAGTGGAAAAGCTCCAGAACTCAAACTTTGTAAAATTGTATTGAAAACCTGTCGTGTAAAAGAAAGTCCAGGATCGAAATCTTCTGAACGCCACAAAGCGTTAGTTTGGTTTATTCTGACACGGATGCTTCAGGAGACGTTAGGAAAATAGACGTTCAGAAGCTGCTCTGGACTTTCAGCGTCTCACACGATGCGATCTCTATAAATAAATTGGTGAGGGGAAAGATTTGTGTGGGACCAGAAGCATCTGGTGTTAAAACACGAGGACTTCGGAGTTCAGGTGAACAGAAAACCACTGGACAGCCACTAAGTGAACTTTGTGGTGACGCAGGTTTCCTGATAAACAGCTCAGGTCGGCTTTGAATGTTTCAGCTCAAATAACTGCAGCTTCTTCACGCAGGCTTGTTTAGTTTTCATTCCAACACTGAAACGTGCTGTGGACCAGCTCCAGTGGAATCTGGTGTTCGCTCACACCCTGAATTGTGAGATCAAACGTGATCCACCACTGGCTCCTCCTCCTCCTCCTCCTCCTCTTCCTCCTCTTCCTCCTCCACCTCCTTCATTTCTCCCGTACACGACCCGAGCTCCGCGCCATCCAGGATTCCAGACACGTTTGCCATTCTCCCCAAAACGACTGTCGGGTTAATGAACCACGCAGCGCGGCACACAACGTCCCACCGAGCATTATGGGTATCCAGCCCAGCTGCCGGGAGGCTTTCATGCACAGCGGCTGAAGTTAATCATTTCCTCACGTCATTGGCCTGGCGCTAAACGAAGCGGGAGGCAGAGAGACAGCTGATTGGCTGCTTACGGACTCAGATGATTAACGGCTAAAACAAATACAGGATATAGAAAAAACCAAAGTATTCATTTTATCGTAAATATTTTAAAAAAGAACTCGTTTTGAAGATTAAGAGTTTGGATGAAGCAGTCGACGCTGAAGCTACAAGGTGAGAACTTTAAGTGTTTGAAACTACAAACAGGAAGCTCTCTCCTGTCTGAGTTCTAGAATCGAAGTAATAAACCTGCCGCGATAAACAATCTGCATATTTAAAGTTCTAGAATCAGACTTCACAACAGTTATATAAAGGGGCAGGGCTTAATAAAGGGGCAGAGACAAGGACATTACCGACAGCCAATAGGAATCCTTCTTCTCACACGTGTTGCTATTGAGAAAAGACGAAACGAAAATAAGCTTTGGTATAAAATACTTTAATAAATAATAGGATTGTTCTAAGAATAAACAAAAATTCCACTAACAAACCAAGACTTTTACCAAATTTTGTACAAAATAATTACAATGTTCTGCACATTCAGAATCTGGGGTGAAATCAAACGTGCTGACAGGATGTGAATTTGGATTCTCCGTGATTTTCATCAGCATCATTAACAAAGAAACATAAAAATATATTGAAAACCAGGTTCAGACACCGATGACAGTTTTTTTTTTTTTAATGCTAAAGTTTTCTCTCTTCCTGTTCGTAGTGCAGAAACAGACTCTTAACGAACAACCGACAGTGACATCATCAACTTGTTCCCTTCATTATACCAGGGTGGGGCGGGGCTAAAACACAGCCAGGAGATTCACACCACGCCCCCTTTGTCTGCGCTGGGGATTGCGATCTTGCTTAAGGGCACTTGGGCGGGGGGAGGGTTGATTTCCGTCACGGGGGAACTTCCATCGCTCCGTGCAGAATCTCAGACCCGATGAATTTAGATCCGAACTACGAGGAGGCTGAGGACGAACTCGTGTTTGGTTGTTTGGACCCTGTGACGCTGGAACTTTACAAAGATGGGAGCGAATAAAAGGAGCTGACATGTAATTGACCATATTTATAT